GGTGGTGGTGATGATAGTGATGATGGTGATGGTGATGGTGGTGGTGATGGTGGTGGTGATGGTGGTGGTGATGATAGTGATGATGGTGATGATGGTGATGGTGGTGGTGATCGTGGTGATGGTGATGACAGTGGTGATGGTGATGATAGTGGTGGCAGTTGTATTGGCAGTGGCAGCAGCACCCGCGATGACATTATTCTGTGTGAGTTTAGCTGCTGTAAGGAAGTATGGGGCTCAGTTCTGCCTCTGAGAGACTGATTATGAATAAGCGCAAAGAGGCCGCAATCACCAAGAAATGACAATGCTTACAGCAAATACCTGCACCAAGCTCTTCAGGGGAATGTATGTCATTGAAGATTTGATCCCCCTCCATAAAGGAAGAAACTGAGGCCCAGAGGGTCTATGTTGTTTTTTTAAGGCCTTGGAGCTGGTAAAAAGCAGAGCAGGACTCAGAGCGGGGTGTTTCTGACTCCCAGGATGGTTCCACAGCCCAGTGGCTCAAAGCATGCCGTGTGCTGCCAGCGTGGCCAGGGCAGCCCCTGAGCATCGATCTCTCTGGGGACTCTGGTGAGAAAGATGACCTTCCTTGTCTGCTTTAATGCAGGAAGTGGCTGAGAGAGTTGTACTGCCCAGCGCAGAGGAGAGACACAGTAGAGACGCCATCATGGCAGGAAAGGGGCTCAAGCCCAGGGACCACCCCAGGCTGCCACACTCCTGAGCCGTGGCACGCCCACCAGCCACGAAGGGACATGCACATTGTGAAGCAGTCTCCCCAGTGCCCTCACTTAGGAGTCAGCACTGGGGAGGGGCAGCTGTTCTTCCCACGCTCTTGTCTGACCATGTGTCATCTGCACACACATATACACGTACACATGTGCACACAGGCACATGCACGCACACACATACACATGTGCACACACACATGCACACACAGGTGTGGCCACATGGTCCACCTTGCTCACTTTCCAGATGGGAAAAGCAGCTTTTCTGAGGGACACTCAGAGGACAGGGCTGGGGTGGTGGCAGCTAGAACGCCCCCACTGCCCTGTCCTGCCTCTACCCACATAGCACCTTTGGCAGGGGCCCTTTGAAGTTATAAGGAGAGACCACTTGCTTTAGAATCCTGGGTACTTTCTTCAGAATCACCTTTTTTCTGGGTCCAGGCAGCACCCTGGATCAATAAGAAACCTCATTCCAGCCATGTCATTTTCCTGTTAAAGTATCACCCATAACCCCTCACTGCCTGAAGAACAGTTCCCCCAACCAGGCCTTCAAGACCCCACCTGCTGTCCCCGCCCCTTCAGTCTCTCTCATCTGGATGGATTTGGGGTTCCTCATTTTCTCTGCCCAGAAAACCCTCCCTTTCTGCTTAAGTCATCCCCATCTTCTACCTGTCCCATACACAATCCATGTGAAGGGTTCCTTGCCCACTCCCACACTGACCCCCACGCTGTGCCCCATGCTGTCTCCAATACCATCCCCCGGCTGCCCCCCGCGATCCCCCACACTATCTCCCTTGCTATCCCTCTGCTGTCCCCCACACTGTATCTCCCCATGCTATCCCCCAACACCATCCTCCGGGCTGCCCCCTGCTGTCCCCCACATGACCCTCCCACTATTCCCCATGCTATCCCCCCACTATCCCCCTGGCTGCCCCAGCTGTCCCCCGCACTGTCCCCCACACTGCTTTTTCACACTGCTCCCCACACTGCCCCCTCAACCAACTATCAGCTGCCCTCTCTTTGGCCCCCACAAGTTATCCCGTGTGAACCCACAGATCGTGGGATCAACGCAGACACTTCACGAGCAGGAGCCCTAGAGCCTGAAGAGGGGTTTCAGGACTGTCCTGGCACCAGCCCTGTGCCTCCCCCCACGCATCCAGGGAATGGGCTGACAGCACGTCACAGGGCCAATATGGGGTCTCATGAGGTCATTCAAGCAGACAGCTTGGCACAGAGCCTGATCCACAGTTCAAACAGGGGTCAGGGTGGCGACATCTCTGCCTGGGACACAGTGGGGGTGGGCCAGGGCCAGCCGTTCCCATCCCCTCCCCGGGAGGTGAGCACCCGGGGCCTCAGGACTGGCCCTGCCTCCTGGACAGGGACAAAAACATTTAATGGAGGAAGCAGGAAAGCACCACCTGCTCAGGCCGGTCAGGAACAGCCAGTTTCCCCCTTTGCAGCTGTGTGGGACTCACCAGACAGGAACCCCATGGCCCAGCCTACCTGAGGATGACATACATGACGAGGCAGTTCCCCAGGAGCCCCCCAACACACACGGCCAGGTAGAGGCCCACGATGGTGACCTTGAGCCCAAGGGGCAGGAAGGCGCCGTGGCTGGTGTTGAGCAGCAGGTGCGGAGGCAGCAGGCTGTGGTTGGGGCTCAGCAGGGACAGGTTGCCCTGAAGATGGCTGCCATAGATGACCTCCCAGAACGGGGCGGGGAAGAGGGGCTCCATGCCAGTGCCCTGCAGATCCACTGAGTGTAGCACCTGGGACAGAGCACAGAGACAAGCAGCTGCAGAGCCAGACACACACCCAGCCGCAGCCTCCGGCACAGCACGTGTGGCCCAGCAGGCACACGGACCCCCCACTGGGCAGCAGCCACAGTCACTGAGGTACACAGGCACACACATCGGAACACACGGGAACACACATGCACAGCCAGGGACTCATGGAGACATGAGGACACATGTGCACAGACGGGCTCACAGAACACAGAGACACACATGCACCCCAAGGGCACCTCTCATTCGCTTTACAGACACATACAGGCTGCCTGGAGGCAGTTACACCACAGGACACGTGTCCACCCACAGGGACTCATGGACAGAGCCACTCGTGTGCTCACAGGCACAGGGATGCTGGGACACATGTCACACAGAGAGATAAACACACGGATGCCCAAACCTGCCCTCATGCACACGCAGACACAAAAGAGACTGAGACACACCCAGAAATGCCTGGGACCCAGCTTCCTCCTGCCCCCAGCCCTGCTGTGCTGCAGTCTGTCAGCAGGACCCCCACCAGACCTCCAGCAGCTCAGGCCCTTACCTCTGCAACCTTCTTGGGAGCTGGGACCACCGTAGAGACCCCCACCCTCAGCCAGCCAGCAGTCGAGCGCAGGTGCAGAGCAGGGTGGAAGAGGCCCAGCCGCCACTGGCTCAGCACAGGGTCTCCTTCTCCTCAGCAGACGCCAGACCGCCAGACCAGACGCAGCAGCCAAGTGAGCCCGGCAGCCCGACACGGGGGGTGGGGGGAGGAGGCTGCAGCTCCAGAGGGGGAGGGGCTGCGCAGGCTGGAAGAGGGGCCGAGGGAAGGTGGGTCACTGCATCCAGGGCTGTGCCAGCCCCACACTGGATGGGGAGACACGGACCAGGACACACATGCAGAGATGAACAAGGAGGCTCAGACCCACAGACCCCAGATGGAGACACGGGCACAGGCCGGGACACACAGACAGAGATGGCCACAGGCTTATAGGCACAGGACACACAGATGCAGACCTGGGGACGCACATGGAGACATGCACACAGACTGACACACACAGACGTGGGGGTCACGACTCACACACAAGAGACACAGCCTCGGACAGCTGGTCCAGACCAGCCAGAGCTGGCATTCCGTGCCCAGAACAGCACCCCCCAGCTGGGCTCCCGGCACACAAAAATCCCCCACCCGGCCAGCTCTCCGCAGATCAAAGCTTCATGGTAAACAAGCAGGCGAGACCCAGCACTGGCCCAGCACCTACTGCGTGCTCCCGAAGCTCAGTCACTCCCACCACACCCGGCCACTGCCGACAGCATAAAGCTTCAGCAGCATGAGGCCCTGCAGAGCGACAGAGACGGGTTGAAACCCCAGGTCTGCTTGTCACTGGGAAACACGCCAAGGGCACGTCTGCCACAGCTGTGTCCCAGAGCTGTGCCAAGCATCGCTCCCCACACGGGGCCCCGGCCCCCACAAAGCTGAGCGGCTCCTTTGGAGTTGTGTCTTTCTCAGCACGGGGGTCCCCTGCCCGATCCACTGAGATGAAAGGTCACAGGTCAAGGCCGTGTGGGTGACCCTTGAGCTGAATCGCCAGCTCCCACCTGGTCACGGGGTCGTTCTTCCTGCACGGGCTTTGAAGGAGAAGCAGACCTCTCCCGACAGCTCAGACCCTGCTCAGAGCACCTTCTCCAAGAATGGGGACCTGGTTGCTAAGCAACCGGCAGCAGCGTCGCTAGGATACCTGGCAAATCAGAAGAGGATGGAACGGGCAGATGCCCCAGGACCCAGCATCCCTGGCTGTCCCCCAGGACTTATGCCTGCATCTTCACGGCAACCAAGGCTCTGAGACACATGTGAAGGCACGGAGCATGTCCACAGACACTCATGGGACACACATTCCTGCAAACATAGAGATGCCCAGACAGGCATATGGGTGAACACACAGAGACAGATACACACTCAGAAACGCAGACGCTCACAGGGATACACATACACACAGGTCACACACATGGAAGACGGTGCCAAGGCACACACAGGCTCACGGGCAGAACTACAGCGTGCATGGACACCTCTGGGAACAGACAGACACAGACCAAGGCCGTCAGACACCCAGAGGACACACGCACGCAGAAACACGCTCTCCAGGAAAGGCGCAAGGGTGAGCCCCCTGCCTGGGGAGCTGAGGTGGGAAGGGATCCAGGCAGGCTCGGATCCCTGCAGCCCCCTGCCCCCGCTGGGCTCACCAAGCTCTGAGCAGGAAGTCCCAGACCCTCCTACTGCAGCTTCCTGAGCCTGCCTACCCACCCACCCACAGAACCTCATTTTCTGATGGTCTTCAGCTGCCGCCCAGACTGGGCACTGCAGGCACTGAGGGTGGGCAGAGAAGAGACCTTCTAAGGGAAGGGGGACAAAGGAGCCCCCCTCAATGTGCCCGGCCCAGGAGCCAGTGGCAGAGGCCAGGGCAGAGCGAGGGACACAGGAACCTCATCCCTTGCTGCAAACCCTCTCCCTTAGCATGTCTGCCTGCCACCCGGTCACCCACACAACTTCCTCCATGCAGCCAGAGAGGGAGAGAATGAGGGGCCGGGATGGGGAGGAGGGGGAAAGGGAAAGGAGTGGGAGGGAGAATGGAGAGAGAACAGGGCGGAGGGGAGGAAAACATGTTGGGGACAGGACAGGAAGAAAGGAAGGGGGTGAGGTCAGACCTAGCTCCCTGACCCCTGCCTCTTTTGACCCCAAGCCTTCTCGCCCAGCAACAGCAGCCAGCCACCTGCGCCTCCACCAAGGCAGCTCCCAGCTCTGCCTTGCCTGGTGTTTCAGGAGGCAATAGAGACCTCAACTCCCTTTGTGGGAGCCATTCAGGGTCCAGCAGAAGGCCGTGGCCTCCCCAACTGATCCAGAAGGTGTTCATAATCTGATACTGTGTTCCCTTGAACTTCCTGTGTGTTTTCTGTGTCATCTTGCCCTGGTATATTCGTAAGCACAAAACCCAGGACAGCTCCTCCGTCCCTTGTGCCCACTGCAAAGCCCCTGCCAAGACCCTGGCACCCTGAACAGCCTAGGCCCCCTGCACAGAACCTGGCCCCACCCACATAGACCCTGCCCGCACCCCTGTACAGACCCTGCCCCTATGCACTGACCCTGTGCACCTGATGCACACCATCTGTCCCCCCTGCAAAGACCCTGACCACACCTGCAAGGATCCAGTCGCCCCAAACCCCGGCACAGACTGTACCCCCACTCCACAGAGAACCCATCCCCCTGCATAGATCTTGGCCCCTCTGTACAGATCCTGCCCTCCTGGACAGGTCCTCTCCCCCCAACCTGAACAGACACTGCCTGCAGCACAAATCCTGCCCTCCCCAAACAGGTCCCTTGAACAGACACTGACTCCTAATGTAGACTCCTACTGCACAGATCCTGGCCCCACTGCACAGAAGCTGCTCCCCCACAGAGACTCTGCCCCCTGGCAAAGATCCTGCCACCTCCATGAGTCCTGCCCCCAGTCAGAACAGACCCCATCTCACCTACACATTCCCAGCCCCCTGCATAAACCCTGACTGCCCTGCAGAGATCCTGTCCCTGTTGTACAGATCTCATCCCCCTGCAAGAACCTGCCTGCCCCTTGGCACAGACCATGCCCCCGCCCAGATCCTGTAGGCTTACACAGATCCTGACTCGCCTCAAAGATCCTGTCCCACTGAACCAATCCTAGCTCCCTGCACAGATCCTGCCGCCACCCAGATCCTGGCCCCTGCACATATCCAAGCCCCGCTGCAAAGATCCTGCACCCTCCACAGATCCTGTGACCCCCTAGAAGTCCTCCCTGCAGATACTCTTGCCCCATGCAGAGATCCTGGCCTCCTGCACAGCCTGTCGCCTCCTGCACAGCCTGTCGCCTCCTGCACAGCCTCTGGCCTCCTGCACAGCCTCTGGCCTCCTGCTCAGCCTCTGGCCTCCTGCGCAGCCTGTGGCGTCCTGCGCAGCCTCTGGCCTCCTGCTCAGCCTCTGGCCTCCTGCACAGCCTCTGGCCTCCTGCTCAGCCTGTGGCCTCCTGCACAGCCTGTGGCCTCCTGCTCAGCCTCTGGCCTCCTGCACAGCCTGTGGCCTCCTGCTCAGCCTCTGGCCTCCTGCACAGCCTCTGGCCTCCTGTGCAGATCCTGGCCCTTTGCATGAATCCTGCCACACCCCCACCAGCTCCGGTCCTACCTCCTCCAAGAAGCCTACCCCACGACCCTCAGCCCTGGGAGCCTTCCAAACCTGGCCATGACTCAGCAACACGGCTGCCAGGCTAGGCCTGTGAGCTCTAGTCTCAACAGATATCCTCTGAGAGTGTGGTCAACAGACCCAGCAGAGACTGCGGGAGGCAGACACCTGGCCCCTCACACGTGCAGTCTTAGAGGGAAGGACAGGCCTGGTCATCTGGCCAGGGGAGTGGCCAGATGTGATGCTGAATGCGCTCCCTGAGGTTGGCAGGGGCCCAGCCCTGGACCCAGAAAGGCTCCCACAGAGGAGAACAGGTGGTGCAGATGAAATGGCCCAGGTTTCTCCAGACCTCTAATAGAGTCCTGCCCTCCCCCAACCTGCCAAAGGTGGGGTGGCCCCTCCAGAAGGGGGAAGGTAGAAGCAGGGTCCTATACAGAACATACATGTCACAAAAGAGATGGCGAGAGACACATGTTATACGAGAGAGCAAGACAACCTCAAACACACATGTCCTAGGCAGGCAAAACAGCATGCAAGGAGAGGAGGGATAGCTCAAGACATGACACGATGGCACACGAATGACAGCACAGAGCCTGTGTCCACAAATGACAGTTAAAGCCTGTCACAGGCTGCACATGGAGCTCTTGGGTATTTGGGCTCTGGGGTGAGATTCACACCCACTCACCAGGCAAACACACACACCTCACTCTTATCCAGTGACTCAGAATCCACAAATGCTAGAGGGCAGCTGGAGCACTGTCCTCTGTCCCCACCACTTGAGCCCCCAGGGCAGGCCCAGTCTACATCCTCCTTCCACAGGCTTCACCACCCTGGGCTGGCCAAGGACAAGAATCAAACCAGAGGGTCCGGCAGCCCCACACAAAGCAGCCATCCCCTGGGAAATATAGTCACCAGGCCATACATTAGTGCTATTGAAAAAGTGAAAGAGGCTGGGCATGGTGCCTCACGCCTGTAATCCCAGCACTGGTAGATCGAGGCGGGTGCATCACGAGGTCAGGAGATCAAGACCATCCTGAAGTTCCAGACCAGCCTAGCCAACATGGCTAAAAATACAAAAATTAGCTGGGCATGGTGGCACAAGCCTGTAGTCCCAGCTACTCAGGAGGCTGAGGCAGGAGAATCGCTTGAACCTGGGAGGCAGAGGTTGCAGCGAACCAAGATCACATCACTGCACTCCAGCCTGGGTGACAGAGTGAGACTCGGTCTCAAAGCCCCTTCTTGCAGAACAGAAGAACATTCCCTTACTCCCTGTGCGACCCACCCCCACAACCACCAAGAGACAGAAAGCTCCCCACCCCTGTGTCCCGCTGGCTGGGACCCAGGGAAGCTGAGGATGGCCCAAGTCCTGTCTCAAAGGACTCACTTCTATGCAAGCACAGAAGGCTGCCTGGAGGAAGCAGCTGCAGGTGAGCGTCCCTACGTACTCCCTGCTGCTTCTGGAGCCCAGGGACCTTCCTCAAGCCAGGCTGGTGCTACGGTCCAGGCAGCACCCCAAAGGCACCTGCAGGAGGGGAGGGAGCAGCACCAGGAAGAGCCTTCGTGGGGAGCAGCAGAGGCTCGAGGGCTAGAAGAATGGGCCTCACCAAAGGATGGGATGCCGACTCCGGGAAAAGGGCTGAATGTCAAAGTTTACCCTCTTACTGAGAGGCCAGGGCAGCCTCCCAAAAACAACGGGAACACCCAATAGCCTCCTGCCAAAAGGCCAGAACCTCAGCTAAGACCCTGCCCCTCAGCCAGGACAGCCCTCCTCCCAGGCTCACAGGTTCCAACTCCCAGTAAGGTACCCCGAGGCACGTCGATGGATGTAGAGAGAGCACAGACATCTTGCATTCATTTTTGCCTAATTTAAACTGTGGAAAAAGCATGTGAATTAAGACATTCTAGAACACACTTAATGCCTGAAAAAATTATAGAATTATTAATTGGCCATGCATGGTGGCTCACGCCTGTAATCTCAGCACTTTGGGAGGCCGAGGTGGGTGGATCACCTGAGGTTAAGAGTTTGAGATGAGGCTGGGCGCGGTGGCTCAAGCCTGTAATCCCAGCACTTTGGGAGGCCGAGGCGGGTGGATCACGAGGTCAAGAGATCGAGACCATCCTGGTCAACATGGTGAAACCCCGTCTCTACTAAAAATACAAAAAATTAGCTGGGCATGGTGGTGCGTGCCTGTAATCCGAGCTACTCAGGAGGCTGAGGCAGGAGAATTGCCTGAACCCAGGAGGCGGAGGTTGCGGTGAGCCGAGATGGCGCCATTGCACTCCAGCCTGGGTAACGGGTAATGTGACGAAACTTTGGTAGCAAAAAAAAAAAAAAAAAAGAGATGAGCCTGGCCAACATGATGAAACCCCATCTCTACTAAAAATACAAAAATCAGCTGGGTGTGGTGACAGGTGCCTGTAATCCCAGCTACTCGGGAGGCTGAGACAGGAAAATCGGCTTGAACCTGGGAGGCAGAGATTGCGGTGAGCTGAGAGCACACCACTGCACCCCAGCCTGGGCAACAGAGCAAGACTCCGTCTCAAAAAAAAACAAAAAAAGAATTAATTATTAATTAGTTGAGAATTAGTTACAAAATAAAGGAATGCACGAATAGATTTCCAAAATCTAGGACCTAGGACCCAAGATCCCAAGACACAGGGTTCAGCAAAACCCGGCTCTAGTCTTGGGGGACACCTGGACCCCTGAGGCCCCAGACTTGCCCTAGAAGAGGTGAGGGGTCCCGAGTACCCCTTTCTGTGAACACCAGTGGCTGGTGCCAGGGCCTCCTGGCCATCGGAAGGGAATGGGCCTGAACCACAAGGTCTCCTCATGGCCGATGGCCCCGCTCCAAAAAACTAGACTCAAAGATCCCTCAAGCCAGGAACCTGGGCCCACACCCCCTAGGATGGTGCGTCTGCTGCAGCCTGGAAAGGACGTTCGCCCAAGCTGGAGAAGCCGGCTCTAAGCCTCTGTGCCGCGATGGCCCCTATGAGGGGCGCGTCCACGCCCCCAGGGCCCTCCGGAGGGCACCCCCGCCCCCACCACCCGCCCCGCGGATTCGAGGGAGGCGCAGGACTCCGGGTTGCTGGGCAACCGCGTCAACAAGCCCCAGAGAGTCTGCGCTACACGGAGGTTCCACCGACCCAAGCAGGCAGCAAGTATGGAGTGTGGGGACCAAGAAGGGGCAGGACCTCGGCTCCTGGAGCTAAGGAGGGGTGGGGGCGTTCGCAGCCGCCGGGTCGGGCCGTGGCTCTGCCTCTGGCCCTGGCTGGGCAAGGTGGCAGCTGTAGGCTGGCCGGGTGGGCTGTTGACTCTTTTCCCCTCTCCCCATCGCGGACCCTCCCTCCTCTGTCACCTGCCCCTGAGGCTCTGCTCCCCACAACCATCGAGGCCCCGAAGGGGAAGAGACAGCTGTCTGGTGGGAGATGCTCACTGTCAGGAACCGCAGACATGGGGGCACAATGAAGGTGCCCCGGGGTCACCTAGAGGTCTCCATGTGGCGCCACCCTGGCAGGGCCGGAGATCCACTCTGGGGTCTCGGCATTTCCTCGGTGCAAACACAGCAGCCGGTAGGGTCGGAGAGACATTTCCTGCAACTGAGTTGATGAGAAAGTCCCAGTTGCCTGCAGGACGCTGGCAGGGCCGCTGCTCGGGGGAGGGAGTGCGCCTGGGCCGAGTTAAGAGGCTGGGGGTGCGGGACCAAGTCCGACTGCGGGGAGCCCAGCGGGCCGGAGCTGGGGCGCACGGGGGTCCCCGAGGGGCGCGCAGGGCCCCAGGGCCACCGCTGGCACCGACAGGACGCCCTCTTCCCTCTGCAGGGGGAGGATGCCGCCGCCGGCGAAGGAGGCCGGGCGCCAGGCCCCGCAGGAGCAAGGCGGGAAGAGCGCACCCGGCGCGGGGCGGGGTGGGGGGGGCGCCAAGGCGGCGCCCGCGACGGAGCCCCGGAAGCCGGGCTGGGCCCTGACGCCGCAGGGGCTGGCGGCCTTGCTCCCCGCGCAGCGCCGCCGCCACCTGCTCTTCTGCGACCTGCTGGAGGACGTGGGCGCGGCCGCCTCCACCTTTCCGCACGGGTCGGCAGGGCCGGGGCACCGCATGCCCGACCCGCGCACGTGGACGCAGCCGCTCGAGCTGCCCTCGGAGCGCCAGAACCTGCTCCTGGGCGTCCTCAAGGCGGCAGAGGCCCGCGGGCGAGTCCGCGCCCTGCGGCTGCGCTACGCCCGCATGCGGGTGAGGGGAGGGGGCGCACGGGGCGCGCGGAACGGGGCGGGGCGAGTGGGGCGGGGCGCGTGGGGCGCGTGGGGCGCACAGGGCGCGCGGAACGGGGCGGGGCGGGGCGCGTGGGGCGCGAGCTCAGCTACCCGAGCCCCGGCAGGCCGAGGAGATCGCGCTGCTCATCCGGCAGCAGAAGTCCGCGCGCGCCTCCATCCGGCTCGAGCTGTTACTGCCGCCACAGCTGAGGCCCACGCGGATCCCGGATCCCCTGGACCGCCAAGAGGTGCGGGCGAGCCCCAGTGAGGGCGGAGAGGGGGCCCCCGCCCGCCTCTGCACACACCCGGCCCCAGCCTGTCCCCCCGCAGCGGAGGCGCGTGGAGGCCATCCTGGAGGAGAACGCGGACAGCAGCATCTTCCCACGGTGACGGCGACCCAGAGCGTGCAACCCGCCCCAACCTCCCACATAAAGTTACCATTCTCCAAAGGCTCTCTGGTCTTTCTGCTCCGGCTCCCCAGAACCCCTGAGGGGAGCGGGGAGTATGGGCGCTCCCTCTCCCGTGGATCTCACAGACTTATTTAGTGGGGAGATGCAAGTGGCTGGGGTGAAAGTAACGGGTCACACACACCTACCCCCGAACCCGGCCTGCCCCACAGGCAACCTGGCGCTCTGCAGGTCCATGGGAGGCCCCCAGTCTTGGGGACGATGGAGAAAGAGCCTGTTTCAGCAGCAGTCACACCCCAGAAGTAAGGGCAGACTCGGGCTACAATGGTCCCAGTGCAGGTCATCCCACCCGGGGAGAGGGCGGTGCTGGGGGCAGCGAAGTGACCTAAGCTGGCCTTTGAAGAGGCACCAGCTGTGCCCAGAGGACCCAGAGACTGAGGAAGGGGAACCCCCTCTGGGAGGCCCCTGCTGCCCTAGAGAAAAAATCTCACCCTCTGGTCTTTTTTCCCATCCTGAATAGCCTCCTGTGATCCCCTTAATGCCCTGCACCTCTGCCTCTGCCCCTCCACTTCTCTCTCTCTCTCTCTTTCTCTCTCTCTCTCTCTCTCTCTCTCAAAAGGAAACCACCCATGTCCCATTCTGACAAACAGGCCCAGGACCTACAAAATCCCTGGACTCTGAAAAGCCCCCAGGTTTCTGGGCAGACCTTACTCTCCTCCCTGACATGGGCTCTTTGCAGAAGCTGGGGCTTCCCTAGGCCTTGACCCAAGCCCAGATTGTACACAGAGCTCAGAAGTCAGCTGACAAGGAAGAGAGACATGTCAGGAGGGGGTTCAGGAAGGGAAGGGGAAAGAGGAAGGAGGCCAGGGAGAAGGGGCTTGTGCAGGGCAGACAGGGAAGGGGAGGCCATCTCTGTCCAGGAGTGGCAACCGCTCACATCCTGATGTGCTTGTGGCATATGGTGACATCAGCCCTGGTGTCCTCTGGCCAAACTCCCTGCAGCCTGGACCCCAGGATTCTGTCTCGGAGACTGACTGAGTGGGTAGAATGAGTTCATCTAGGAGAATCACATATTATCTCATTACTTCTCTGAGACTCAATTTCTTCATCTTTTAGATCAGGGTCTTGGTGCAGTGCTCCACACGCAGCAAGCGCTCCAGAGGGGACGGGTCACTCTGCATCAGATAGGCACCAAGGAAAGAGAGGCAGAGACAGACACAGAAAGCCCAGCACCCTGCAAAGGCCAGCAAGGCAGGACCTCAGTAACTGCTTCAGGGTCAGACCGGCACACAGGCCCTCTGATCCCCATGAAAGGAGGGGGTTAGGTGTGCAAAGGAGCTAGGGAATGGGGCCCAGGACATTTCTGCAGGGCCCAGGGGGACTCCTGCCTGTAGAAAGCTCTGTGGGGAAGGAAGGCATGTGGGCCAAGATCCAATATATTGGGGGACTGTGAGGGCGCAGAGGGTCCTGGGTTCAAATCCCACCTGCATCATCAACTGCCCAGCTCACCTGACTCCACGCATGGACTTCAGGGATGCTCTGTGCAGAAGCCACGGGAATGGAGAGCAAACCCAAGGGACCAGAGGAGATGGGGCGGTGATGGGGGAATTGCAAAGTAACCCAAGGGCACAGGGTGGGCACTGACCTTCATCCACTGCCAGCTACCCACACCTGCATTTCCCCACAGCGGAGACAACAGGCCGACCGGCTGGGCGGGGTCAGCCTGGTTGTGTGGCCTGGACCAGGTGCTGGCCCATCTTCATTGAGCCTCCCTGACCTCACCTGTGCCCACCTCTCAGGAGTGTTACCTGGGCTGAATAAGAAGCAGCCTGTCTCTTGTCCTCATGGGGTTCCTGGCCCCTGCCTTGCCTGGCCTGGCCTGACAACATGGCAGCTACAGGGTTCTGAGGTCAAGTCGGCCAGGGCTCTGGGCACGGCTTCGAGAGGCAGCCTGTCCTCCAGCGCCCTCTTGCCTCTGGCCTCCCGCTCCAGGCTCCCGCCCAACCCAGCAGCCCAGCGCCCTCCCCTCCTCAGTGCTCCTGCCTCTCGCCCAGGCTTTTCCTGCCTGCCCCCCACAACTCACCTGTGCCCCCAGCAGCAGATCCAGGCTGATCCGTGTTGCTGGCTTCTGGTCCCACAGCCTGGCCCACAGGGACTTGCAGATACTGATCCTTGTCCGTTGAATTAGGTGCACAAGCAAGATCTCCAGCTCCCTTTCCAGGCCTCAGAGTTCTGTGAAGGTGTACCCCTGACTCGTGCAATTGGAATGCATTTTTTGGGCGGCCCCCGACACTGGAGGTGTCCCGGCCAAGTGCTTGGGTAGGACGGGAGCTGCACACGGGGGAGGGGGGCACAGATGTTCTGCAGGCGGCTCCAGAGCAGGGTCAGGGCCGCCTGACACAGCATGCTGGGACGAGAAGCCTGACCCGGGCTGCACCGAGTCACAAAGGAGGCGAAGGGTCAGCCGAAGGGACAGGGCATTCGTGGCAAAGGGGGCGGTGTGGCTTTAAGCTTCAGGACGTCCTGGGATACGCGGGTCAGCAGGGACTCTGCCAGGCCCCACAGAGTACTCAGTGTGACTGCGGATGCAAGAGCCGCGCCCCCAGTTCCCCAGCCCCGCAGCTCAGGCATCTCCCGCTTCCGCGAGAAGCCCCCACAGCGCGAAAGGCTCTTCACCCGGTTTCACGACGAGGCTGAGAGAGGCGGGGGGGCCGCGGCCCAGCCCGTCACAGC